CGTTTGAAAGGAACCAATGGGCCTGGGCCCAGTATTCCTTCCTCCTTGTCTGGTGTTGTCGTCCTAGTTCCTGGACCCCATGGTCGTTGCACCTTTCTTGCTCGAGCGAACTTATCCTCATACAATCTTGCTAGCGTTGTTGCATTTATGACCGAAGTGGGCTGCATCGCCTTTACTTCTAGTCGCAGTTCTTCTTTTAGGCCGACAACGAAGCTTCCCACCAACGCCTTCTCCGTCCACCCTTGGACTCTCATGGCCAGCTTTTCGAACTCCATCTGGTAATCTTTAACTGATCCCACCTGTCGTAGCTTTGCCAAACTCTCATCATGATCTACGAACCTAGACGATCCAAAACGGATAGTCATGGCATCAGTGAAGTCTGCCCAAGTTTGACGAGGGTGCCCCCGTCGGTACCATTGAAACCAGAGGATAGCTTCCCCTTCAAGATGCGCAGAAGCCAAAACTACCCTATCTTGCCCAGGTGTCTCATGGTAATCGAAATACCGTTCGGCTCTGAGAATCTAGGGAGTTGGGTCACCGCCTGAGAAGATGGGGAAATCGATTTCGGCTGCTCTCATTGCCGCCGGCCCTATTCTGTGGTTGTTTTCATTGTTGCGCTCTTCTTGCCTTCCTCTGTCGTTGTTTGTTGCCCCCTGCTCCAGACGATTGAGGAGAGCAGTGAAACCTTCCTTCATTTCTTTGAGATCTGAAGACATTCGATGGATCTCTACCTCCATCTGATCCACTTGGGTGTCTACTGATGTGTTTCTTGTGTTGGTCATGCTGACTCTGATACCAACTTGTTAGGAACCTGCCTAACTCAGAGCTCTTCGAGGGAGCCAACCTCCTGAATTCGTTGGAAGGAGAGAAAGAGAGAGAGAGAGAGAGAGATTAATGCCGAAAGAATTACTGTCTTATTTCTCTTTGTGCTTCACTACTTATACTGTTTACAATCTTTGATTTCTTTCTGTTACAGCTGTTGCAAGTGGACGATTAGTTGTGCTGACGTGGCCTCCTCCTGTAAAACTGATTAACTGCTTTCCGTTGGTCTGTTCCAGTAGTCTTTATAAATATCGTATTATATCGTAATATCATATTGTATTTATTATAATATACTTTATATTATATTAAATACAATATCATAGTATAGAATGGAAATATGTTTTTAATTGTATAAAAAGATATAATTATAATATAATATATTGTATATTCAAAAGGGTAAAACTACAAAGCAGATATTTTTAGAAGTTATAGTATTCATATCACCAAACCACTTCGCTGCATTTGGAGATCTGAAAATGCAGAAAAGCAAATCTTCACATATCAGAGCTCAGAACTATTCCTAGAACTTTTTTTGCTTTTCAGATCAGAGTCTGAATTTACTGAATGCCACCTCCATGTCATTTTAATTAACTTAGGGTTGATTGTTGTATGTTTATAGTCTGTAATATCATCCTAATAACTTAGGTACTTGGTTACATCTGTATGACCATCACTTCAAAGAAAAAATGTCCATGCATCATCATACCACAATTCAATTATAATCCCCCCCCCCAAAAAAAGGAACATTTACCTATTTCAAAAGCACAAAAAGACATCCCTTTTACAGGAGGGTTCACCAATAGATGCTCTATCACATTATTTGGGAGGTCATATCTTTAGCCTCTAGAACAAACACCTTGTTCAGATGGTAGAGAATATCAGCAAATGCACTTGCAGATTCTCTTGGAAGAGAGAGAGAAAATCAGATCAAGTTGTACTGGGGGACTGCCCTTCCTGGGTGGTCTTTTTTGTAGATCTCTTTGTATTTTAGGTGGGTGTGTCCATTGACACATCCCTTTCTCCTCCCACACCCATCCCGTGGCAGGTGTTTTGATAGACTAAAATCTACACAGTATTTAAATGCAACTAACAGGTCATGACCAATGGTATTGTGGATAATAGTTTTTATAAAGTTCATCAGAGATCACACTACAATAAGGAAGTAGTGTGGCATCATCATGAAATATAAGAAACTTGATAAGGCAGGTGACCAAAGGTTGATACTTCACTATCTTAAATTCTTTCTTAACACAAGCAGAGAGATCATTAAGGGTGCAATGGATATAGACCAAAGCTATGGCATTTTTTGCATGAAGTGGCAACTCCCAGACTTGAACCAGCATTCTCACACTTGTCAGATGAAATAATCACATCAAGCAATGGTCCCTTCTTTCCATGCTCAAGAACCATAACAAATTCTTTTTCTCCATCTGTGGTTGTCATGGCCCTGACATTGGTAGAAGTAAAAGGTGGGACTGACAAGTTGACTAGTTTTTGAAACTCGGTGGCTTCAAAATGTCTAGCATATTAGCAACGAACCCGCCGTATTCATTTTATGATCCCTAAGAGAAATTTTTACATATTGAAGTTATCATGACAAAAATATTAAGTAATAATGAAGAACATGAAGCTACTACTTTCTTTTCCATAAAGATATTCAGGCAAAACCTGAATTGTCCTCAAGATGTTCCTGTAAACCAACTCAGCTAATATTCTATCAACCATAAACCTGAAAAAAAAACAATAAAAAGGGAAAAAAGGCACAATTTAAAGAATCATTGAAGTTTACCAATCAGTGCAGCCTTCACATTGCACCATTAGGTCATCAGGGTTGTATGGCATTTCACATTTGCAGTATCTGCAATATGAAAAAACAATTAAATAAAAAATAGGCAGGACTGAAACATAGCTGATATCAAATAATCATATTCCAAAGTTGAACCCACAAATGTCCCATCACCAAAAGAAGGCCTAAATTTTCTACAAGTTCCAAGAAGTTTAAGAAAACAAAATTGGAGAAAGATTGTGATATAACAGAATAAATAAATAAATGTTACACTCCTAAAGGTTAAACGGCTTAGCTTGAGGTGTTCCTATAATTGCTTTCGGCATATGGTCAAATATGTAACAATTGGTATCACAACTTACCACCATGTCTCAAGTTTGAATAGCGGAAAAGGCTACTAGGAGAAGGACTACTTAGTACAGAGTGAGAACTGTCACGGAAGAGTGAATGAAAGCCGCTAGAAAGAATGGGCTACCTGCCGCTAGAATGAGAGCTGCGGAAGCGTGTTAAATGGCTTTGCTTGATGCGTTCCAACAGTAAGCTTTTGGATTGGTCAAGTATGTATCAATAAACCAATAAACAGATAAATCATAACAGAATAAAGTTCCAGACACAAACTTCGGCTATAGAGAAATTCTTCCAAACAAACGGTGTTTATCCTGAGTATGAGCAAGGCTTCAATTCGTTAGAACAATGGCATCTCCATAAACAACCTTGTGCTCCAAAGGCACGTATATTTTCAAAACCAAAATGCATACATTTGTTGCTATCAAACACTTGTAAAAACGACAAGAACAATAGGAGGGGAACCTATAACATCCAAGAGACACTGGAAAGAATAAAATAATAATGAAAAGGGATGACCTGTCCTAATTTGCTCAGAAGTTTTGGAATTAAAAATACCAAATTGACCAAAACAAGTCGAAAATTTTGGTTCTAAATCCGTGCAAATCTCTAACAGACGAAACAATCTCTTTACGAGTTACTAATATATAATCATTGATTGATAGACGAAGAAGTGATAACATACACAGCGACTCTATCTGGATTGAACGCTCCAGTGGAGGAATTATACTCGAAGCGGCAGAAGTAATCGTCATTACCGACGGCGTCGAGTTTAGTATAACTCTTGAAGCTATGTACCGTACACTTGCCCTCGATAGTGTCGGCGCTCTGTACGTCGTAATGGTCGGAAAGAAATACCTCCTTGGCTCCGTGGAACTGCCGCCGGCCTCCGATCGACTCCTCTGGCCGGTAGTACCACCGTACCCGTACCTTCACGTTCCCTCTACTGTCTGATTCGATCTTCTCTACTTTGGCGACGTATGGGGGTTTCGATGAGTCCGAAGGTCTCATCAAAATGCAGTCGCCGGCTGCAATGAAAAGTGCAAAATTCACAAACGGAAGGGGAGATGGCGAATATCAGAAATCTTTGACAAGGAAGAAAAATTAGGAGTCCTTCTCTGGTGGGCATGCCTACCTCTGATGATCTTGTTAGTGCCCTTGATCGTGTAAGAATCTATTGCTCTTCTGGGTGCCCGGCCTTTCGCCATGGACTGAAAGGGTAGAAAGTGAATGCTGGATGCATGCACACTAGAAGACAGAAGGGTCAGGTCAGGGGGTGGGAATGGGATTTCTAGAAATTAATGAAATTAATTAGATACCATATGAATTACGAAATTAAAGAATGCTTCTGGTTCGATCAGAGTTCATCGGGCAAGATATAAAATTTAGATTTCGTAATTTGATTTCTAAGGCGGTGGAATGTGTACCACAGTGTTCTCACAGGGGTAGATTTGCAGCGAAACCAATAACCAATGCGGGCGTTCGGGTCATGTTCAATAGGGGTGTAAACAGTATTCGGGTCATATAATCGAATTCGATATCTTATTCATATCGAATAATTAATGGGAATATGAACTGATTCGATAAATATATGAATTCGATTGATTATTTAATTCTTATATATAATATATAAAATATTTTATATAATTTTTATATAATAATTAAGTTATATAAATAATTTATATATTTATATATAAATATTTATTTTATATATCTAAAATAATTAATTAATCGAATTCGAATATTTAATCGGATTCAAATTCGGATATTAATTTTCAATATCCGTCAAATATCAAATCGAATTCGATCTATTTACACCCCTATGCTAGGACAAGTCAGATGTGTGTGTAAGGGTTATGTATAGCCTGATGAATGGTTCTATCAAGGTCAGTAACTACAAGGTAGGGGTGGAGTCAAGCCGAGCCGAGCCAAATAGTACTAGGCTCGAGGCTATTCTACAAGGCTCAAGCTCGAGCTCGAGCTCAAGCTCGGCTCGAGTCAAAAATTCATAAGCTCAAGCTCGGCTCGACTCGAGCTTGATTTTGAGAAAAAATATTTTTATTTGATATTTAAAAATTAATAATTATAATAATTAATGATTATAATATTTTTATTATGTATATATATTACTTTTTATAATTTTATTATATAATATATATATATATATATATATATTCGAGCCGCCTCGCAAGCCGAGCTCTAGTAGGCTCGAGCTCGGCTCGTTTAATAGTCGAGCCAATGAATTAGGCTCAAGCTCGAGCTCGAGCTCAGTTGAAACCGAGCCGAGTCAAGCTTTTCATGAGCTAAGCTCGAGCAACTTGTGAAAAGCTCGACTCGTTGCCACCCCTAACTATGGGTGTCAATGGACTAGTTTTGGGTCAGACTCCATTTAAATCAAAATTAATTTGAACGGACTGGATGGACCAATATGACATATTGGATTGGACTTGGTCCATCCATAATGAACTTATATTGGGTTGAGCCAATATTTGGTCCATTGATAGAAGATATGAACATAGATGTCAATGGACCAGGTTTGAGTTGAAACAAATCCAAATTAACAGGAATTTGAATAGATTGGATAGTCTCTAGACCAGTCCTAAATGGTCCAAAATATTCACTGGACTGAATTGGATTAGGTCCATTTGTAATGGACTCACATTGAACCAAATTGGATTGGACCAAATCTAGTCCAATTGATGAGTAACACTGGATCATACACCCCTATGAGTAACACTGGATCATGATCTCGTAGCTCATGGTTAGGGCTTTGTGTTGGTTCTTGTTGGTCAATGGGAGGTGCCTCTTACATGTAAAAGGGGGATCGCCATGATGAGAAGCACATGTTGTGTCGATAATGTGAGGCACCTATGTGTCGATGATGATAGGCAACTGCTGAGCCTGAGCACACCCATGCACTTTGGGTAATAGGGTAGTTCAATCAGCTTAGACATGGGGATGGCGAAGAATAGAGACATGCTTAGGTCAAACCCGCATGGAAAGCCTCCCCTTAATGTACGTTGCAAAGTGTTAGTCCATGCACTGTCCCCATGAGTGTGTGTATGCCCATGAAGAACCCTAGTAGTCATGCTAGCCATTAATCAGAGTCGCCTCACAAAAAGATATTGGTATAGGAATGCCAAGGTTAGGCATCCAAAGAGGTCAACCACCCCTCTCAAAGAGTGGTTAAGCTTTTGAAGGTCTACCAATAATAAATATAACTTTTCCCAAAATTCATATTGATATTATTTACAATATTGCCCTTCAACATAAGCCCCCAAGGATAGAGAAGGTTGACAATGTATTATGGTAACGTTGAAACATTGGGGTTTCCTTTTGCGTGGGTCCTCCTCAACTACAGAACGCCAATGAGGTGGACTTGAATCCCGCATGAGTCGGCAAAAATCTATGGCGTAATCAATAGTTTTTAACCGTCTGACCAACCTATTGATTTTGACGAAACCAGGGCTCCGCCCCGCCCTGCCCTGAACGGGGCGGGTTTTCCCTGACCCTAAACAAAGACGGGTGGGGATGGGGAAAAGATATTTTCCCCGAACCGGGGATGAGGCGGGGATAGGTTTTATATATAATTCCTTAAACCCGCCCCAAACCTGAAGGTAAATTAGTAAAATATCTATATGTTTAATATTGATATTTAAAATATCTCTAAATTTTCCCTAAATTCTTAAAATCCTAGGATACCATAATTTTATTTTTGAATTACCCCTAAAATATTATAATTCAATTCCTAAAATACCCCTAAATTCTTGTATCCTATGTATAAATTATTCATAAAATAGATAATTTTTAAATAATTACTTTGAAGCGGGGAAAATTCAGGAATTCCCCATCCCCGATGGAGAATAGATGCTTCGCCCCGGACCCGCTTGCCACCGGAGACGAGACGGATACAAAACAAAGCATTTTGACTTTGGGGCGGGGACGGAAAGGGGGTGCCCCGCCCCAAACCCGCCCTGTTGCCATTCCTAACTCCATCCGTCGGACACTCGGACGCAACACGCGTTGTTAGTCCTATTCTCCTAACGGGACTACATTAATGTCTCTTCCGGTCTCCCCCCCTTCTATTTGTACTTTGTAAATTGGCTGAAGGAATGGTTGTGTTAAGCGCTGTTAACCAATGATAAAGCGAGGGGCAACCGTGCTTGAGCACGGGGCCACGGGCAAAATCCAGAAGCCAAAATAAATGTGAAAATTTACTCTTCTCAACTAATAGTGGCTCGTTTGGGTACAATTAAAGCCAAGGTTTAGGCGGCGGATTGATGCGTTAAACATAAAAAGAAAAAAAGAATATAAAAATTATATATTTATATTTATTAAAAAATAAAGGAAAGAAAGATAAATTATTTTTTCTAAATTTACATTTCCCAACCCGATCTGAATTTGACTTGATCAGGGATCAAGTTAATAAATTTTTGTTATTAAAAAAATAATCATATATCCCAAGTGCCAAACTTTTTTTTTCATTTTATATTTTCTCTAATACTTTTTTCCTTGAGTTTTTTTTTCTCATTGTGGTCTAAGAGCATCAGGTTGGTTTATTCTTTGTAGCTCCATTATTGATAAAAAAAAAATTGCTTTGTAGTTTCATTGGTTTGTTTTAGACTTTTAATTTTAGCTACATAATCCATAAAAAAGTTATTTGGATGAGGAACTTAGGTCATTGCTGAATATGCTGAATTGAAAAGACTTATTGCTTTGTCTTTTAGTGAATAAGTTCTTAAGGAGGTTGTGAATTCCTTAATGGCATAAATTGAAATTGAGTAAATTACTATATCCTTGAAAATTTAATCATTTAATTATTTTAACAACATATAATTTAATATTAACTCTTATTAAAAATAAAAAAAAGTGTCCTTATTTAAGCCTTAGGCCTTGCACATCACAAGGCTAAAGGCTTAAAGGCGTAGGCCTCTCTACCAACTAGGCCTTGGCAATGGAGAGAAAGGCTATTGAGGCCAGGCCTTTTTGGTCAGCCTCGCCTCAATAGTCTTTTAAAACTATGATTGAAGCCAAAACTGAAAAAAGTGGGCTACAAGAAAACAAGGGGCCCTTGTTTTTCTCATCTAAAGCTAACTAAGAAGTAATAGTTCGTAACGTTGCATTTGGTTGCAGTGCAAAGTCTGATTAGGCAGCCCAATAGTTCCTAGACCGGTTAAAAGATCATAAGAATTGCCCATGTAAGATTATATTCATCATTAATAAGATAGTAGCAGAAAAAATTTCTCAGTCGTCAAATCTTTGATCAAGACCCACTCTTACAAAGAAAGAATATGTGAATCAAAAAAGTGGTCGTTTGGGTGTGCTTATGAGTGCTTGGTAGGAAATCACTTCTTTCAAATGTGGATAGAGTAGGTATTTTGAAAATTATGTGGTGGGTCAAGATGGATAAAAAATTAGTATAGGTATTTTTGAAAAAAAAAACCCAAAATTTGAGCTTATTCAAAATGGCTTATTTCCCGGAAAAAGGGACTTACTTGGTTTCAACCTAAAATAAGTGCTTAATATGAGATCAATATCCAATGGCTCACATTTATTGCATTTTATTATTGAACCAGAATAATCTATGGGGATTTTAATTTTTTGTTATAATTTTAATGATTTAATTAAAAAAAATATGCACATGTGTGAGAAAGGAGAGGAGGAGGAGGTACATGTGAGCTATGTGGTGTAGAGGACCCTTCACCTCCCCTCTTTTCCCTTTATAAAAAAGACTTTAACACTAGAAATAATTACAACAAACAGATGAAATCAAACAAAGAAACCCTAGAAAGCGTTGGGAAAGCAACTTCATCACTCTCACAAGAAATGGAGTTATTGTAATACAATAATAGATTGACAATAGAAATTCAGCTCCTCCCCATGAATCCATGCATCTTTTTTTTTTGACTATTTTCTGGGAATCTTATCATCAGCAACAAAAAAAAAAGATCATTGAATCATATTATTGTAAGCTTAAATGGAATATCTAATGCAAAGATATGTTATTTCATATGGAGAATGCATCTACAATGTAGAATAGAGTGATGCAATAGGACCATAGTGTGAAAGTACAAAAGAAATGAAAGATGGGCTAGGATTGTGAATCATGCAAACTAAGTTATTATATTTGCCACCATTTGGTGTACAATTAGAATTGCAATCGGAATCGGAATCAAAATTTATCAGAATAGTCTATTCCTCCCACTTTCTTGGTTTCGGATGGGAATTGGAATCAATTGGAATAGATTCTCATTCCCAAGGAAGGAGGAGAGAATTACCATTCCCTCTGACATCATACCTTTATTCCTGCAAATCAAACAGACCCTTATATCTTTAGCTTTACTTGCAAAGGTGTATTGCCCTTACACTGTAATTTGAATAGAACTTTTATTTCTTTCGTCCCAAAATGCTA